GTACATACAGTAGGAAAGAATATGAGTAACATCAAAACAAGTTCTTCATCAGAACAAATCACAACGATTATCGCCACATTATAAGCACAACCGGTACATAAAAAAGGGACAAACAATGTCATTCCAGTGCCTCCCAAAAATCTGACATATTCATTTCCCGAACCTGTTACTTGTCCTGAATGTTTACTGCTGTGAAGTTGTGCTGCTTCTGAGGTAAATCTTGCAGCTCTTTCTGCATCCGTCAACTCCATTTTCAATTATTTGTGACAGACCCAAACCAACGTAGCAGCAAGGACAGTGAGCTGCAGCCAGTCAAAGGAGGCACCCTTATTGATCTGGATGGGGCCGACATGGATGACAAGGTGTGAACACCCTACTTTAAAATAGCCTCTGCTAGGATACCTTTTGCAGCGCTTTGAGAATGGTCAGCAAGCGATGAGCATTTTCAAAGCCTGGTAGTCCAGGCACCTGAGGACACGTGAACCAAGCAGTACATGGCCTGTGATTTAAAAATCATTCTAAGTCGGCTAGAAATTGCTTCCACTTCTTTCTGCAAATGATGCCTGAATCGCTCTGCCATATACCCTGTATCCATGGCTGTTGGCTGATTTGAGCATTGTGAGTTGCACAGTTGCCATGGATGCTGCAGGATGGCGCCACGTGTTCGTGCACATTTTCACTGAAAGTCAGGTGCGTGTTGGAAGAAAAAAAAAGTGTTCAAGGTCATGATGCGCACTGGCAAAAGGATGCATCTTGCTCGCTTGTCATATCCCTCCCTGCATAGCATTTAGCATGTTTGCTGCCATGAAAGGAGGGCCAGAGTACTTGAAGCATGGGACAAATTACTCTAGCTCCGCTTCTACTTGACGAATTTTAAAAATCTTTGTGGCATGTAATTCTTGAAGCTTTGTGTGCTGAACGTGAAACTAGTCATTAAGGGGGCAGACTGGTCTTAGACTTTTTTTGTTTGTTTCTTCAGTGATCTTGATCAAACGATTGGAACCACCTTCCCTCTTCCGTTGTATCAATAACAAAACCCTTTGTTATTCAAGACTGCAATTTCTCAGCAATGCTTGTAACTGTACGCAGTTTCCATTATCTATCTTTGTCTTGTATGTGCTTGAATTCTTATACATTTTTAGTTGACTTCTGTTGCCTTCCTGATTTGCGCATCTGATACTTGTTTCTTTATTTTGTCTTTTTTTCTTGTGTGTTATATATGTTGTACCCACCCCCTCTGTAATGCCCTACGGGCCCTGAGGGTATTCTAATAAATAAATAAATAAACTGCATGGGGTTATGAAGTTTTTTCTTCTGATTTCAAATATTTAATTAGTTTCCCCTGTAACTCATCTTGTTCCTGAGATAACTTAAGTTCACCCCCTATTGTTTATGGTCACCATACAAAAAAAAGTGCTTAGTTAAATGTGATATTTAAGATATGCCAACATACACTAATGACTATAGATTGAAAGTATGCAAGAGTTTCTTGTTTTTAGTTTGTTCTTGGTTATGTTACAGCAAAATGAACTATCCATTTCCAAAAGCAGTTGGAATAGTGTTAAATTTTGATGAGTAATTAATTAAAAAGGCTTGTGCTTTAAATTTCGCTCTCATACTCGCATTCTGCGGTACAGGTTTTCATTGCAAAAAGAATTATTATTGTACCTGCCCTAGCTGCAGAGATAATAAGGCCTCAAAATTGAACAGTCGGGAATTTACTTTTTTGAGAAAAATAGAGAAAACTGGAAACACGCAGCCTCTTCAAAAGGCAACAATCATGGTGTGCATGTTTTGCAACCCTCATAAGGGTGCTCATAAATTTGTAGCAGAGCTTCTAATACAGGGGCCGCCAAAATATAAAGAAGCCTCGCAGTCTGTTCGCTATTTTTTTGCTGGTTCTGCATGTTAACAGCACTAAGAATCCGGACAGTTAGAATGACATTACAAAGAAATTACCATTTCTTGGTGCGAGAAAATTTGTAGAGAGATAGAAAAATACTTGCAGAAACCAAACATGTCAATTTTAAAAAATGAATTTTTTTGTCACTTTTCTGTCCCAAAGACCAGTCTGCCCACTTAAGGAATCACAGTTAAACCCCTTTATAAGAGTCATGCTCTGGACAGCAATTCTTGTCTTTTATATGAGATCTCTCTTATAAGTAGGGTACCGTGTGTGCATTTTCTTATCAACTAGTATTTTACTGTAGTCACACTGGTGTCTCTTATGCCCATGTGTCTCTTATAAAAAGGTTCGACTGTATTTGTGTTCTTGTTGCTTCTTCCTGAGCATCGACTTCAGCGGATAAAAAACGAAACACTCTCTGTCATTTGGTTCCTAGTCAATGACATTTATATAGTCCATGGTTCTAAAATGTCTTGCTTTGAGGTTGCCCAGAGTTATTTTGTGTTAGGTCTGTGATTAGGAAGAATGCTCGCACCAAGCTACCTTGCTTAACTCCATTTTGATGCACCATCTGCTGTCCCACAAGGCAGGTTATGCACTTTCAGTTCAGGTAAAATGAGCCTAGCTTTTAGTGTAAGGCTTAGAAGTAAGGATTTAAATTGGTGGGTAAGGTTGAGATACCAGATTTTACAATTTTGGCTTTTTACTCAATCCTAATGTCAATGTTATATTTGAATTTTTTGAAAATAAAGAGCGTGTCAGAATTTTAAGAAAGTACATCATCATTTGTTTACAAAAGTACTTGTGTATGTTCCAGGGTGACCGAGACAAAGGCTCTCGACCTGGCAGCCCCAATGGCGTAGGCAAGAGTGAAAAGGCCGAAGCTCACGATGACAATGTCACCGAACAGGCCAACCACATCATCATCCCAAGCTATGCAGCCTGGTTTGATTACAACAGGTTAGGGCTGTTGTGCATAGAGTCCTAATTGTTTTGCTACTAGAGGTGAATGTGGTGATGGGTATCCGAAAAGAAAAGGAACGATTCCATTATTTTTGGTTCTTAAGTGATTGCTGTAATCTCATCAAATGGCAAAGTGATCGTTCAGTAAACTTTCCATTTGTAGGGTGTCAGAATTACTGTCGGTGTGACCACCCCCCATGGAGGTCTACTCGCTATGCCACTCGGCTGCTGACCCATAGGTCGCGGTATCGGATCCAGACTGCGGTGGCCACATTTTTGTTCGAAGCGAAATGCTTGAGGCCTGCATGCTTTAGATTTAGGTGCACGTTAAAGAACCCCAGCCGGTCGAAATTTTCCTCGCCCTCTACTACTTAGTCTTTAATAATCATATGGTGGTTTTGGGATGTCAAACCCCCAACAGTTTATTATTATTAATGTTATTATTATTATTAGTAATAGTAGTAGTAGTACTACTTCTACTTTTGGTGTGATCATGTGATCCCTTTTGACATTTTCTTGCTACAGTTTTACAGCATACAAGAGCTGCTCTCCATAAGTGACAGTTTCATTGAACTAGGATGATTACCGTACTCACTCGCATAATAGGTGCATCCCAAACTTGGTGGTAATCAATAGTTCTGTACCGTATTTGTACGGTTGCCATTCGACGCCCTCTTACGTTAACTGAAGCGAGGAAAAAGAAATGATAGGCAGCGCTGCTGCAGCTTCGCGGCCTTGCCGAGTGAGGAAGACGGGCGGTTGCCTGGGTGTTGGAGTAACCTTTGCTCTGACGCACGACCACAGCTCCAGCCTCTAGCGGGCCTTGCACGTCCCTTATGGAAACGCTTGATGGTGTCCTCATCAACTGTGCATTCAGTTTCCTGTCGGAAACAAACGTATTGCATTCGCTACTTCATCTGGAAATCTAAAAGCTTTTCGGCTTTCGGACTGGAGCTTTTGCCTTTGCTGCTGCTACACGGACATACAAGAGCTTGATGGGCTCTTGATGCCGTTGATTTCCTGGCCGCAAACCTAAACATCGTTTCACGCCGAACCAACGTAACTCTTTTTAATGGCTACTTGAAGGAAAGGGGGCTTTGGTGGCACTTAAAACACTCTAATAAATGGTACAGTAAAATCTCGGTATAACGAACTTCAGGGGATCATGGCAATTTGTTCGTTATTTTGAAAGATCGTTATGTGAAAGCCCAAAAGTTAACCATACTTATTTTCTACCGACCAAAACAGTGGTTCCTTGAACTCTTTTTTCATAATAGAAAACAAATGCGCAAGTGAACACCAAAAAATGCATGTTACCTTTAAAAAGTATGATTTTTTTGTTTTTGTTTTTGACGCGTGCAGCACAAACAGCAGCGCAAAGGCCTCCAACTCATCCACATTCTCTACTTTCTCCTTAGTGAAAACTGCTTCCGCTTCTTCAATGCAAGCAAAGATGAACTCATTGCAGTAGCACCGCAGCGCGAACGTCGACTTGCTTTGCGGACGCGATATGTAATCACCGAAAAGATGAACATGACTGACAAGCCTCCTAGATCATATGTAGAAGTGACAAAAAAAAACCCAAAGCATCGTGCCTGTCATTGCCTCTTTTGAAGAAAAGAAAGAGTTAAAGAAGAAAATTCTTCGCATTTAGTTTTCTGCCCCCTCGCTATCTCAGGCTTTCCGCGCCCATGCTTCCTACTCCGCAACTCCCACTCTGCCTCACTGACTTTGCCCTCCTGTGTTGCCCTCGCCTCTGCGCTTGTAAACCTGTAGCATCAGCGTATCAATAAAAAGAAAAAAAAGTCCTTTCGTTTTATTTTTTTGTTTTTTTTTTCCCTCCACACCATTGCGCGTCTTTCGAGAAGTAAGGTGTTCGTTCGCTATGTCGTCTGCTTGGGTACCGCTCCGGTGGTCGCGACGGATTTCAGAACATGAGTCTGTAGTACTGAGGCGTTGTTAATATAATGTGGATCTAAATTAGTGCTCGTTATTCTGAAAAGCTCGGTATTCTGAAGTACGTAGTTGTGAAATGATTTTACATTGAAACTATTAGCAGTCGGCACGGGATTTTTTAAAAGTTCGTTTAAGCGGTGTTTGTTCTACCGAAACTTTACTGTAGTTTGCGATTTGATGGCAATGTCATGGGTATTGGGTGTGGGCCCCTGAAATGAACGATTGGTTACCGTTTCACACACAATAATGTATGTGGCCTGAATCGTAATCTGCGAATTTCCCCAATGACACTTTTTTGTAGTTTTTTTTTTGCGTTCATTTCGTCCGCAATGCAAGTCTTCTAGTGTTAATTTTTGTAAATTTGAATGCATCACTTGCCTTGATTCTCGGACATGTCAGACTGCATGGTCAACACGATCTGCACTAGTGTAACCTATGAAAAAGGTTGTTTCAGTTGTAGCGTGGATATTCGTGATATGGGCGATGTATATGTTATCAGTGGTCTATGCTGTAGTCGAAAGTAGAATTAGCGGAAATGTTACTCTGTGTAATAGGTGCACCCCGAACTTGGAGTCCGATCCTCTGGGGAAGAAAATGCGCCTGTAATGGAAGTAAACATGCTAATATTGGAAGGACAGGTGCTAGCAACCCGAGCGTTTCAGATTGACACATGTGAAGTCTGGACCTTGGCACCTGAACAAGTGAATCACCAAGGTTTACCTTAGTACCTTTATGCCCTGGTTGAATACTGAAATGCTGTCTCGCATTGCCCCCATGCTTACCTATTCTCTCTCTCTTTCTTTCAGTATTCATGCGATTGAAAGGCGTGCCCTACCAGAGTTTTTCAATGCCAAGAATAAATCTAAGACACCCGAAGTGTAAGTCTCTTTTCTGCTAAGTGGCTCCCTTGCATTGTGTGCGCTTATTTTGGTTTAATATCTTTGCATTGCTATAGCTGTCGCCAGCCCTGTGAGCCTGCATGTGTACAAAAAATATTCATTTGTGAATGTCTTGAGAAAAAAAACAGATGAGGAGCAGAAAGTGCCTTGGATACAGTTTTTATTGTTATACCAGTGTAATTGATACACTGTTTCATCAGTGTAAGTGGGAAATGCGGCAGTAAAGCTGTTTTATTCCCTCTTCAATTTAATCCACCACTGCTTCTGCTGAAAAATTGCATTTTATGTCAGTAATTCTTGAACATGCTATGAAGTGAACAGATACAGCTTTGCAATTGCAGCTTGCTGACAGCAGGGCAAAGCACATCTCAGATTGTTTTAAGAACATGGCAGTCGGGGATACTACAAGGCTAGCCACCTTTAGCTTCTGAAGTATAATATGCGAGTAGTTTCGCACCTCACTCCAGAAGACGATAAAACATCAAAGCGATTCTAATGTTTAGGGGAATTTGTTTTGCAGTATTTTTTGAGCAGCTGTTAGAATGAATGTTCTAATTGTTTTGCAGCTATATCGCATACCGCAATTTCATGATCGACACGTACCGGCTCAAACCCAACAGAGTATCTGACGGTGACCGCATGCCGGAGGAATTTGGCAGGAGACGTGTGCGCCATTATGAGGTGAGTGGCTCAAAGGCGCAGAAAATTATTTTGAAAAGATTCATTCTAGAGGTTGATAGAGTGACTCATTGGCTGTACGTTCCGTTCCCTTTGCATCACTCGGTATTTTTCGAAAAGGCACCAAAGAACTCTTCAAGTACACGGTGATAAGGTTTTCAGTTATCGTATTTGCTCGCATAATTCTCGCACCCCCCACATCGCCCAAGAAAAATACGATGTCTTTTTTTTTTTTTTTGCGAGTAATAATCCCACCCCACCCCGAAAATTGCCGGAATAATGTCATCTGCTTGTACCAGCCACTGATGATAGCGCACGCCATCTGGTGCTATCTCTTGATGCACCAGTACCACAGCCTTGAGAGGTCATAGATTCCGAGATACAGTGTAGACCACTTAGAACACAACTGCTTAGAGTGCTGGACCGTTTACAGTGGGGTGTTTTTTGACTCCCATTTACCCTCCAATATAACCCCACGTATATGCATACCGCTTATAGTGCAGTCCCTCAAGATGAAAGACCAGTTATAATGCGGTTGTCTGAAAAATCGGGGACAAATGTGGTTGTGGGCGCACCTCTGAAACGAGGTGCACTGGTAGCAAACGATGCTGTTGTTACAAAGGAGGGAACACGGAGAGAATGAAGAGTGATGGGAGGGGGAAAAAATAGACCGTGGCACGCTGCACAAGTTCGCCAGCTCCGCATCTTGCGAGGCCGCTAGCGCACATTGCTCGCAAAACTCTTCGTTTTGTTAAAAGAACAAGCTACTTGCAAACCCGAGCACGATTTTGAGCGAAGCATGAGCAAAGAAAGCACAAACAAGTGCCTACATTGGACTGCAAGTGAACTTGCATGCGACAGTGAGAGCCGAGTAAGTGCCATGCTGCACGCAACTAGCCAGAGATAATTGGTTCGACGTGGCGGCAGCGCGCTTCAGTGGAATGGCGCGATTTCGTTGTGAACGTGGTTAAATTCACTCGTCAGCAAACGAGCGTAGTTTAACACGGGAAAAGGCCTTACTTGTCAGCAGAGCGGTTGTTCACATTTTGGTATAGGGAAGTTCTTCTGATCATGAATGACGGCGTTGCTTTTTTAATGACGATAGCCTTTCTTGGGGACCTTCGACGGAAAAATTTTGGTCTGTCTGTCTGTGCATTTGTCTGTTTGTAACGATGCCTCAAACGGCACCAAATGGCCAACCCCATTTGCAGTGCCTACCAATATTGCTCAAGGTTTTGCGTTCATAATTGCGCAATTGTCAATTAAAAAGCAATTATTGCACATATCTGAGTCACGATATTACTTTATAATGAGTGCACACCCAGGCATCGTGCAGGATGTGGAAGTGGTTGGTAAGGTACGATGCAGTGACCATAGAATGGTACGGTCTCGAATTCGCCTAGACTTGAGAAAAGAACGACAGAAACTGATACGCAAGAAGCCAATCGATGAACTAGCACTGAGAGGGAAAGTACAGGAATTCAGAGTCTCGCTTCAGAACAGGTACTCGGCTCTTAGTGAGGAAACCAACCTTAGCATAGATACATTGAATGATAATCTGACGAGTATCATTACGGAGTGTGCAGTGAAAGTTGGAGGCGGGGTAGTTGGACAGGACACTGGCAAGCTTACCCAGGAAACGAAGAATCTCATTAAGAAGCGTCAAATCATGAAAGTGTCAAGTACAACAGACAAAGTAGAACTGGCAGAGTTTTCGAAGTTGATTAATAGACGTAAAGTATGCGATGTAAGAAGATATAGCACGGAGAGAATTAAACACGCTCTGAAAAACGGAGTAAGCGTCAAAGCAGTGAAGAGGAAACTTGGAATAGGCGAAAATCGGACGTATGCACTAAGGGACAAAGAAGGCAAAATAACTACCAATATGGATAGGATAGTTAAAATAGCGGAGGAGTTTTACAGAGATCTGTACAGTAGCCGGGACAACCACGACTTTAATACTATAAGAACTAGCAGTAACCCAGATGACACCCCACCAGTAATGATAGAAGAAGTCAGAAAAGCTTTGGAGAGCATGCAAAGAGGCAAAGCTGCTGGTGAGGATCAGGTAACATCAGATCTGCTGAAAGATGGAGGCAGATTGTGTTAGAAAAACTAGCCACCCTGTTTGAGGTGTCTCCTGACGGGAAGAGTACCAGAGTCTTGGAAGAACGCTAACATCATCTTAATACATAAGAAAGGAGATGACAAAGACTTGAAGAATTACAGGCCGATTAGGTTGCTCTCTGTAGTATACAAGCTATTTACAAAGGTAATTGCTAACAGAGTAAAGAAAACATTAGAATTCAATCAACCAAAGGAACAAGCAGGATTTTGAACAGGCTACTCAACAATTGACCACATTCATACTATCAATCAGGTAATAGACAAAAGCTCAGAATATAACCAACCACTATACATAGCCTTCATAGATTACGAGAGGGCGTTTGATTCAGTAGAAATATCAGCCGTTATGCAGACACTGCGGAATCAGGGCGTCGATGAAGTACTATATATAAACATCCTGCAAGAAATCTACAGGGGATCAACTGCTACCATAGTGCTTCATAAAGAAAGCAACAGAATTCCAATCAAGAAGGGTGTAAGGCAGGGGGACACAATCTCCCAAATGCTATTTACTGGGTGCTTACAGGAGGTTTTCAGGAGCCTAGAATGGGAACAGTTAGGGATAAGAGTTAATGGAGAGTACCTTAGTAACCTGCGCTTCGCCGATGACATTGTATTGTTGAGTAACTCGGGGGACGAATCGCAACTCATGATTATGGAGTTAGACAAGGAGAGCAGAAAGGTGGGTCTTAAAATGAATCTGCAGAAAACGAAAGTAATGTACAACAACGTCGGAAAAGAGCAGCGCTTTGAGATAGGTAATAGTGCACTTCAAGTTGTAAAAGACTATGTCTACTTAGGGCAGGTAATAACCGCGGAGCCGAACCACGAGATTGAGGTAACTAGAGGAATAAGAATGGGGTGGAGCACATTTGGCAAGCACTCTCAAATCATGACAGGTAGATTGCCACTATTCCTCAAGAGGAAGGTGTATAACAGCTGTATCTTGCCGGTACTTAGCTACGAAGCAGAAACCTGGAGTCTTACAAAGAGGGTTCAGCTTAAATTGAGGACAACGCAGCGAGCAATGGAAAGAAAAATGGTAGGTGTAACCTTAAGAGACAAGAAGAGAGCAGAGTGGATTAGGGAACAAACGGGGGTTAAGGATATCATAGCTGAAATCAAGAAGAAGAAATGGACATGGGCCGGGCATGTAGCGCGTAGACAGGATAACCGCGGATCGTTAAGGGTAACTAACAGGATTCCCAGAGAAGGCAAGCGGGTTAGGGGGAGACAGAAGGTTAGGTGGGCAGATGAGATTAAGAAGTTTGCGGGTATAAATTGGCAGCAGCAAGCACAGGACCGGGTTAACTGGTGGAACATAGGAGAGGCCTTTGTCTTGTAGTGGATGATGATGAGTCACGATAACAACACTTCAAAGTTTTGTATGTCTGCCTTTTATACTAGAAGAGGCACACACAAGTAACTCTAAGGAATGTAGCGTTAATTGCGCTGCGCTGACAGTGCAACGAGATGCTCAAAAAGGTGTTTTTAACGCTTTGCTACGACGTCACGGTGGTGGCACTTGCCCGTCGCTTTGCGTTCTACATCTTATCACCCCCGAGACTGGCACGCATCTTTTTCTGCGGGCTGCACGCTTTCATTTTCGAAGATGACTGCCAGATGGCGCTTCTGTCTAACGTGCCTCGATGCGCTTGTTCGCCTCCGCTACACGCTCGAGGCACTCTAACGCGGTGCCTGCAGAATACCATTCACCGGTTTTCTTGCGCAGAACATCAAATAAACGTTTTGTTCACTCTCTCCAGACCCAAGACTATCGTCTTTCGACTACATTGGCGGTGTAACATGCAGATTTGGAACCAATTTTTTTCTTTCTCCTCGCCTTGTAGGGTTCACGCATTCCTGGAGCAGTGGGGTCTGGTGAACTACCAAGTTGATGCAGACAGTCGTCCGAGCCCCATGGGTCCTCCATCAACATCGCACTTCCACGTGCTGGCCGACACCCCCTCGGGACTGCAGCCGCTCAACCCTCCCAGGACTCAACAGGTGAGGAGGCCCTGGTTTTAATTACAGTTCTATATTTCCACCAACACAGGATTGATTGGGGGGGTAAAAACTAAAGTGACTACTGTATTTCCTCGTGCGCATAGGTGAAAATTTGAAGATAAGGTTGGGTGTAAGTGATTAAAATATTGGTGTGCAAGGCTTCGTGGTACTTCCTCACAGTAATGCAGGGAAGGTGGCTTCACAGCAATACGAGTGTAATTTTGTCTTGGGGGTGTGTCTTTAGTGTCTTTGGTGGGGGGTGTAGTTGGGAATGTGTGTCCTCTACAGGGGCAGGCTATATGCGAGAAAATGAAGTGTTTGTGGCAACATTTGCATTAGTTATGTTAGCTGTTCTTGCATAAATATTTAAGAGATAAATCAGTATATCTAATTAAAGGCTTATAGAATAAAGTTACTGTATTCTACTGGTCAAATCTATCGGCTTTTGTTTTTTCATCTATGACGTTAAACTCGATATTGAAGTGATTGAGGGAATTCTGCCTCTAACTCGATAATGATTTTGTCAATTTTACCACTCAGTGCAACACAGTTGCGTAGTGGGTATTTCTTTGGGAACGCCATAAAGGGGTTTTCATTGTTCTGATTGATGTAGTGTTTGAGAGCTCTTCGTGGTGAGCCAGCACTTACCGTATAAGTGGAATATAGGTCGAGGCGGAGTATAGGTCGACCCCCTTACCTTGACCAGCAAAAAAACAAAAAAAGAAAGAAAAACGTGGAATAGTTCATGGATTCAGTCCTCCGAGCTGTCGGAGCTCTCCTTCGATGGCGACTGCTTATCGCTAGCCGCCTCCCATAGCATGTCGTCCTCAGTGCCGTCGAGAGCGTTGCTGATGCATCACTTTATGAATGCGCGCACCACCATCTCTTCAGGCAGAGGCCTCCATGCCTCGGAGACCCAACCAGAAACTGTCGCGAGAGGTGGCCTGTGCAGCCGGCCTGTCGGAGTCTGCGGGTTGTCGCCAGCCATCCATTCGGTGTAAAGTGCATGCACACGGTCCTTGAAAGGTTTATTAAGAACGACGTCCAGCGGTTGCAGTGTTGACGTCATCCCTCCCGGAATGACGACAAGATCTGTCTTTCCGTCGCGAAGGCTCTCCTTCACCGATGCGGTCAAGTGCCCGCGAAACGCATCCAACACAAGCATGTTCCGGTGCTGCAGGGGCGCTCCAGGCCGCCGGTTCCACACTGTGCTGATCCACTCGCACATTAGGGCCTCGTCCATATACCCCTTCTTGTTAACGCGGACGACGGCATCCCGCGGGAAGGCCTCCTTCAGCATCATCTTTCGCTCGAGGATGATGAGGAGGGGGCAACTTTCTGCCGTCGGCCGTGCAGAAAAGCATAGCGGTGAAGCGCGAATGCTCGCTTTCGGTCAACAAAAGCTTCACCTCATTTGCCCCGCGTTCGCAAACAGTCGTGGACGACGGCATGTCGAACCACACCGGCGCTTCGTCGGCGTTGTCGATCTGACCTAGCATGTAGCCATGCTGCCGCCGGAGGCTGTTCACGTAGAGTTGAAACTCTATCAATTTGTCCTCGAACATCTCCGGCAGCTTCTGGCATATCGGCGTGCGCCGTCGAAGGGCAAATCCCTTGCGTCGCATGAAGCGACGGACCCAATAAATGGATCCCTTGAAGTCTTTCTTTGATAGACCGGCTTCACGGGCGAGCCCGACGGCTTTTGATCGGTTGAGCTCTGCATTCATTGGCAGGGATCTGGCACGGTACTCCCGGATGAAATCCGCCACTTTGTCTTCGAGTTCCGGGTGCACAGCTCGGCGACCGCGAAACGACGTCTTCCTCGCGTTACACATCGACAGTTTGGATTTTTGGTTGCGCCAGTACCTGACACTTTTCTCAGACACTCTAAGCTGCCGCTGTGCCGCCATGTTGCTATTTGCTTCCGCAACTTCAATAACTTTTCTTTTAAACGCGGCGGTGAACTGGCACCGCATTTCCGTATTCATGGCTAGTCGCAGTGTAACGTCGACACTCGCTAAGAAAACTAAATGAACAAGAAAAGAGAAATGGCGTCTGCAGAGGACGCGTCGGCCCAAAGAGGCGATGTCGATGCCCAAAAAGCATGTGACACTTCTTGTTGCCAGACAATCACTTGGCTTATGCCAAGGGCCGGTATATAGGTCGAGGGGTGACTTTTCATTGACCTATTTTGGAAAAAATTTAAACCTATATTCCGCACTATACGGTACTTAAGGGGGGAGGTGGCGTTGAAAAAAAAGTTTTCTGTTTGTTGATTTAGAGCAATAAAATTTGGCATGATTACTCATAAGTGTCTCGAATAGGGAAATGTGCAGTTTTATTGTTATACCTTGAGTAGTTCTCAAGTTGCATCATGCTATGTGCTTTGACTTACAGTTAAGGGGAAAAGCGGGTCTTTGAGACCGAAAATCGCTAAAGAAATAACATTTTTTGAAAATGCTATATTTGGATTCTACCACTATCACTGCATAATCTCACCAATTTTCACGCATCTTAGATTGGTGATTCAGCCATGAGAGTAGTTTATGTGACGTTAGTGAGCTGAATTTTTAGCGATGGACGCGTGTTTTAGCGATGGACGCGTGAAAAACGGGCTTTTTTAGCGCCGTGGCGTTGTCGTTCTACGCTTGCTACAGCAGCCATCTTGGTCGCATTCGAAAGAGCCGCCCTTTTTCTTTCATATCTTACCGCACTTGTTTTCGTCCACTCAGTATGCACGTTGTGAATACATGTAATAAAAAAAAAACCCGCCGCGTGAGCCTATTGGTGTGGTTAGCACACTTGACTAAATCGCGCCTTTCGATTCGCCGGGCCTTCCAAGTTGTCTGCTGCATGCGGCAGCGGAGTGCACACAAAGCGGCAAATGTATGTCACTTTGTACTTTTCGGTTTCCTGAACTCGCGTGAGCTAGCGAGAACTTAGAGCAAGCATCTCTGTATAGTCTACGTTCGGCGGTATACTGGTACAGCGCTGAACGAGCTCGACGAAGCCTCAGGGACAGTGCGGTAGGCCTATGCTCTCGGCCGCGTTTTCCCGAGCTGTCTGCTGCGTGCGACAGTAGAGCGCACGTAAAGTGGCGAGTGTATCTCTTTATTCTTTATTCAAAAAAAACCTTACAGGCCCCAGAACAGGGCATTGGGTAAGGGGGGGAGGAATCGGAATGGTACAGACGGGTAACGAACAGTTTACAGGCAGGATCAGTGCAAGAACAACGAAAAACTATATATATATATAAATGAAATCACATTTTAGGCTATACAGGGCGAGGTAAATTTGAGGGAATACAGCACTTGTTGATATGAACATGGCGACAGAAGGATACATTTTAAAATAAAAGACAAGGGGAATATAAATCACCGTTACGCAATGCACTCAGAATACAAAAACAGGGTCACATGGTGAACAGAGTGAGTAGCTGACGGCGAAATGTATCGGGATTAGATATGGAGGCTATGCAATCAGGGAGGTCATTCCAAAGACGAACGGCCCGAGGCAGTGGTGATGAATTGAATGCATTAGTTGACCCGTATATGCGCATGAAGCTGAACTGATTATGCAATCTGCGTGAAAAAGAGTGAGGTGTTTGAAGCTGAAGCCGCGTTCGTTTATTAGAGGTAATATATTTCTGGAACAGACAGAGAAGAGCAATATTGCGACGGCTATCCAATGACGGCAGCTGAAGGTCTGATTTAATTTGCGTTATGTTTGACGTGATGTCGTAGTTTCGTGATATGAAGCGGGCACCTCTATTTTGAATCCTTTCTACCATAATAATCAAGTAGTTTTGATGAGGAGACCAAATTGCTGAGGCGAATTCTAATATTGGCAGAATAAAGGTAAGAAAGGCTAGTTTTCGAATATTAGTAGGGGAATTTCTCAAGTTGCGGCGTAGGTAGCCCAGTGAACGTGATGCTTTGGCACAGGTAGACTCGATATGTGAGGCCCATGAAAGATTCTCTGTGAGAAGAACACCTAGGTATTTGTAGGAAGAAGTGTGGGAAAGCATGGTATTGTTCAAGTAATAGGAGAATTCAGAGTTTACGTGTTTACGGGTGAAAGACATTACCTCGCATTTTGTTAAGTTCAGTTTCATAAGCCACTTGTCGCACCAGTTACAAATATGGTTGAGATCTGCTTGAATGGTTAAGTGGTCATTACTGGAGTTTATAGAACGGTATATTATACAATCATCGGCAAATAGACGCATGCAAGAAGTAATCTCGGAGGGTAAGTCATTAATGTAGATTAAAAATAGTAAGGGCCCAAGGACGCTGCCTTGCGGTACGCCCGAACTAACAGAAGAAAAAGGGGACGCAAGATTGTTAACAACAGTGAACTGCTGTCGAAAAGAAATGAAGTTTCGAATCCAGGTTAATGTTAAAGAATCAAGTCGTAGAGCAGATAGCTTAGAGATTAGTCGGCAATGGGGCACACGATCAAAGGCTTTAGAAAAGTCAAGAAAGATACAGTCCGTTTGAAGGTTGCTGTTCATGTTTGAGTGTAAATCGGTGGTGAATTCAAACAGTTGTGTGTAACACGAAAATCCCTCTCTAAAACCATGCTGATTAGGAAAGAAAAAATTGTTCGTCTCGAGGTGATTGTACACGTGTGAACTGATTATGTGCTCAAGCATTTTGCAGCATATGCAAGTTAAAGATATGGGTCGATAGTTGTCAGCCGAGTGAACATCTCCAGTTTTGTGAATTGGTTTTATCTTTCCTATTAACCAGTCGTCCGGTAGCATGCCAGATGTTAGAGATTGGTCAAAAATTTGGCATAATATTTTGCTTGATATGGGGAGGGTGTTCTTTAGTATCTTGGAATTAATGTTGTCAATACCGGCTGATGTGGATAATTTTAGGTTGTTAATGAGTGATCCAATGCCTCCAACAGTGACAGTAATGGGTTCCATATAGGCGGCGTCAAGTTCAGGAAAAGTAGGCACATTGGAAGAATCTTCCTGAGTGAAAACAGATGAG